CGGTGAGAGAGAACAGGAGAGTACGTAAGAGCACGAGAAATAGAATCACGAAGTTGTAACATGTTTTTTGAGACTGTATTACGACTCATATAAGCTTAAGACCAGAAGAACCAACACAGAATTTATCGGTATTTACAGGGTTGTCGATATTAATTCGCAGCAGCACAAGCGCAGACAAGATCCGTTTCACAGCGGAGGTTGGTCCAGGGGGGGGGGTTACCATATATATTATCATTAGACTAGAGTTACATCTCTTAACCCCAGGTCATGAACCAAATTGTGTGAAGAGACACCTCGGCGCCGTCGCCGGTTTGAGCTATGGCACTGATGATTTTTGGGGGGTGCAGGGAAGGGGGGATCCTTGCCTACTCACCCTAGCAGGTCTTTGCTGTTGGTTCAATCCATGTGCAGCCGCGCCCAGATCAGAGAACAAGGCTCGATCCCATGTTAGTTGCGGCCAGTGAGGACCGGATTCCATGCGCTTTCAAGCCATGTGCACTGGAACTGGCATTCTGACTGTGGCAATCGTGCTGAATGTGGTGGTTGGTTTGTTGGTGGTGAAAGCACTCTATGACGGCGTGCATGACCTCGTTGATGTCTTGCAACTTCGTCGATTGTTAAGCCTTATGTGTTCTTGTTATTTTACACCGCAAGCTCCGACGATTCAAGGAACTAGACCCGTAAACTGTGGAGTCGAACAGCTGCCCAGGAAATACCGGGCATCGGCAACCGGAGTTTGGTCCGCGCTCTCAGCTGCCTTCGGTGGAGGTGTTGGCGCATTCATCGGCAGCTGGGCGAAGGTTACCGTGATAGAGCTCAGCACTGTGTTTAATCAATGCGTTGAACGTATTCTGACTTACTGTTGGGTTTGTGATTTCATTGTTCGCGTTTCTTTCCATTGCAGGCGTTGGTAACTGTGCTCCTGACGGTCAAGATTGTGAGGTCGTGCGTTAATTAGCCAGTGGCTACCAAAAACCCAACACCCCGATGTGCAGCTGGCCGCGGGAAAAGCGTTGCCAGTTTTGAGCTATGGCGCCTAGGTAAATGTAACGCTTTGGTTCCCAGGACAATATTGTGGTTGGGATCTTAGGATTGGAGGAGGTGTTAAGGTTGGATCTTAGGGTTGGAATCATCCTATTGGGGCTGAGATCTTAAGATCGATGTTATCCTAGGGTGGGAGGTGAGATCTTAAGGTAGATGTTATCATAGGGTGGGGGTGTGGTGTTGGGGTAGCTGGAAATACGTCAGGGTAGCTCTGGAATATCTCGGGGTATGCCGTAGAACCTCAGGGTTTGCAACCCTTAACCCTAAACCCTGAACCAAAGTCTACAAGGACCCCTTTGTCCCTTTTGAGTAATTGTTTGCCACCTTAAAGATAATAGATAGGGTAATGGTTATTCCTATAATTGTGTTGATAATGGGGAAGTAGTAGAGATATATCGGTGAAATGTAGGGGGGAGTCTAGGGATAATCATCTAGTGGGTTGGCGGTGGCATTATTACCCAAACTGGGCAAGGCCTTCCCTAACTCATTCAGGGCTTCTTAGGCTCAAGCGTTGCAAGCCTAGGGCCTGGAGCTCCGCAGTCCCAACTCACAGCACCGGATATCTCAAGGCCGAAAGCCCTTGTAAAGGTAATGTACTGTAAGGGCCTTAATAATTAGAACAGGGTTTCGGGGGTTCCTTTCTATAGTTATACTAGAATAGACCCCCCCCAAACCCTATTCTAATTATTAAGGCCCCTTGGCACGTGAAAATCAAGATCTTAGCAGTCAGCGCTCCAACAGCCACACGTCCTGATGCCAGCGCGAACGCATGTTGACTGTGGTTGTTGTATACCGACTCTGACAAATCGCCTCCCAGTCCCTGCCGAGAAGCTGTACACTCCCCACAAAGCCGACAGGGTCCCTTTTTGGGGTCCTTTTTAGACGGGTGCCGTACTAGATTGGGGACTCAAACAGGGGCCCTAATGTAGGGAACTACCCAAGAAGCAACGAACCCACACCCTGAAGCCCAAAGAGCTGAATTTTTCAGGATGCCAAGCTGGGCCTGGGTATCCTTCCCTTGCTGGAGGTGCTTGCATGCTGGAAGAGACGTTTTTTTTGGGGGGGATGGGGGGGGGTTTGGGGTTTAGGGTTGTTCGTTGCAGAGGATAGGCTTGTCTTTACAGACACTGGTGTTCCCATGGGATGCCCTGAGATCTGTTAGTGATCTACTGGTCTTCGTATTAACAACCGACAGCGCTGCATCATGCAGAACATCAAAAGTAAGGTACCGGAGAAGCTGATCCGTAACTCATCTGTGGCCCTAAGCTCGCGACGTTAAGCTTAAACCCTGAACCCTAAACCCTAAACCCTAACCCCTAAACCCCTAAACCCTTAAACAAGCCTTCCAGGAGCAATGTGGCCTTCAAGCCGGCAGCAACGAGGCCCCGCGTCCTGGAAGTCCTGCCACCAGGTCACGCGTACTATTTTGGGGGTTCCTTATTATACTTATAGTATCATGGGCCCCAAAATCAAACTGAACCATCGTCGGTCTTTCATCGACACTGGGCATGTCGCTACAGCCTCCAGCAGCTCCCGTTGGCGCCTGTTCTGCCTTTGGAGGCCTTCACGCAGTCCTGCCACCGGCGGTCATGGACTCAGCGGTGGTACATGGGAAGAGCCGACAAGTCATGAAAGCTCCGTACTCGTAGTTGGCAGACGCTCTTTGCCGTTCCGGCTGGTGTTTGCTATCTGGGATTGAGCGCAGCTTTCAGGGTCATAGGACCCGCCATTCTCCCAAACCCTGGGCCCTGAACCCCTTGGACTAAGCCTCATAAAGAACCCTAAACCCTAAATACCCAAAGCCCTAAAGTCCGGGCGCGAGGTTCGGAAAGAGTCCTGCCAAGTGCTACGTGGAGCCAAAGATGGCGGCCAGGGAGCATTTCGAGATTCTGCATTCGTGTTGCCCGGTGCCCTTCCCACCTTCCCCCGAGGCGCAGGAGGAGAGAAAACTGCAAGAGTAGCAACGGGCAAGAGGTCAACAGCAGAAGGACGACTCTGGCTTGGATCGCGCAGCTCTTGATCCGAAGCTCCAGAGGTACGCTACAACACCAACCACTTTAGGGAGAAGAATATGGACATCATGCCGGCCGAGGTCGTCCAGGCCAGAATTTTTTGGGACCCAACCTGTGGGCCCTCAGAGCTGGGAGATCTAATTGTTCATCGCTAGAGAGAGGGCGCTGCTGCCTTTGCATCGGATGGGTCTGCATTTACCCCGTGTGCTTGCATGCCCGTTTGAGATCTATGGCCATGCCCCTAGCCGCCCTGGCACCGAGTGAGAGTCGTCACCCTTGTTTTCCTCGTCCTAATCGTGCTCTTCCTTGTGGGTTTAGGGTTTAGGGTTTAGGGTCCTAAACCCTAAACCCCGGCCATGCTCCTCACGAGTGCCGAACGTCAGCTCCTCCTCGGGAGCAGCAAAGCCTTCGTGCGCGAAACGATGCAAGGTGGGCTGTTGCATGCATCCTGGGCTTCACAGGATGGTTTAGTCCAGCGGTATGGTTTAGAGTTTAGGGTGTCCAGCTGATTCTTGCTCCGCTGAGCTGGGTTTTCCGCATCAGGGCTCAACTCTTGCCCTGGGTGGCCCTTTGTGAGTGCTTGTGCCGATCTGGGGTAAGTTCGCCGGTCTTCACTATGATTCGCAGCCTGTTGTCCCGGCCTGTCAGAGTTCGTAGAGGAAACTGCTCTTCGGAGCCATGGGAACGTTTTATCCGTGGTATTGCTCTCGGCTGTGAAGACGAACGCGGATGTGCTTCGTGTTATTAGCATGAAGGACTGGTGCCAGTATCATTGCTGTTCTGCTTGTAATGTAGGGGCCTTCTATAATTAGATTAGGGTTTTGGGCTCCTTTATACTCTAGTTATAATAAGGAACCCTAAGGAATAATATTGGCAACTATTTGGGCTTCTATAGTAGCGCTGTTAGCTTCGTGCCTCTCTGCCTCAGCGGGCTTCAAGCAGGCTCCTTGAACGAGTCCGCTCCCACAGACAAGTGCTTGCCTCGGGATTGCTGGAGTTGTCTCGGATGGCATCGTGACGGCCTGGAAGCCCTAAACCCTAAACCCTAAATTTTAAACCCGATGTAATTAGGAGTTCAGCGTTTGAGGTTCGGGATTTCGGTGTCGGTGACTCGAATTTTGGGCTTTCCGGTTCGATTGAGGCTTGTGCACTTTAGGGACTCGGACGCAGCTTCTGATTGTATGCCTTATGTCCACCTGCAGGAAGAAGGTTGCAGTAACAGCGTTCACGCCCACTGCTGGTCTTGACTAATGTAGGGGCCTTAATAGACAGAATGGGGTTTTGGGGTATATTATACTGTAACTATACCAAGGAATCCCCAAAATAGTATAGGTAATTTTTTAGGCCCCAAATAATTACCAATATTATTCTGGGGGTTCCTTCTTATAACTATAGTATAATGGGCCCCACAATCCTATTCTAGTTATTTAGGCCCCTTATACTAGCCCAGGTTCCAATGTTTCACGTCAGGTTTATCCGGACATCTCGTTTTTCGGCTAGATAAAACAAATGAATAAATAAATAAATAAATAAGTGTATATATATATATATCCATATCCTTGGTAACACTTGTTACTGCTTCTACTCGTGCTAGAAACTGATCGAACCGTAGTTCATGGTTGCTTCGATTGGTGTTGTTTGTGATGGTGATTATGAGCGATGATCATATTTGCTTGGTTGACGCGGTTGTCGATATTTGCATTGCCCTTGTAATTATGAGCTTTATTGTGACTGATTGCTGTTATGACAGTTGCCAGCGCATGCTATCGCTACTGTTGTTCGTGGCAGTCATTATCATCACCGTCGCCGTTATCAACCCCATGAGCACATCGCTGTCGTTGTCGCATGTTGTCGCTGTCGTTGCGATTGGCTGTTGCTGTTTTCGTTGTTGTTGCGGTGTCCGCTGCTGCAACCACCGCGATGACCATACTACCAGGCCAAAGAAGGGCTTTATCGCTGCACAGCTGCTGCGGTCCGTGTCTGCGCTGTTCACGCTGCCGGGGCCTTGTGTCTTGCGCTGTCGGTGACTCTGGAGGCTTCAGGACATATGGTCAGGACCTCACCTAACTAGTATGACGAGCTGTTTGCATTGCACTAGTCGTACAAGCACTGCGTGTAAGCAACCATATCTGTCACAAGGTTCGCAACATTCGAAAGAAGAGCAAGACGAGCAACACGAGCAAGAGTAACCGCATCAGCAAGAAAACCAGCGACAAGCACAAGAGCAGCAGCAACAGCGGAAGCCATATCTGCAGCAGCCCCAACAATAACCGCAACATCCACTAACAGCAGAGCCACTATGGTGCTTGTGTTGATGCTTGTCTTGCAAGTGATTTTGTTGTGAGATTGGTTTGCCAAGTCCAGGTGTGAACACCCCCTGAAGGCCTAAACCCAAAACCCTACGCCGGGTTATGGGAGTGCCCAGAGAATTGCAGCCGCGAATTGTCTGAGGTTGCGATCCAGCGAGCCCAAGTGCGCCGCCGAGATTCCTTGAGCTTCGGCACATTTCGCGGATAGTAGCATGGTTTTGTTTTTTTGAAGGGTGCTGTTAAAGGGTTCTATGTTACTATTTCTACTGTTGGGGTTGTCCTGGGCTGTTGGGTTCACGGTTTGCACAGAGATTCATGCATGCAGTCAGCAGACAACCCGAACGAGAACGACGCCAGGCCGAAGCAATTTTCTCACGATTGCCCGATGTTGCCAGATGGCTGAGGTATACAAACTAAGTCGAGGTTTAACGATGTCTACAGTGTTTCTTCCAGATCAACCTGGACGGAAGCGGGGGATGGGCATCGAAGGCTTCAGCGGCTTCGGTTTTTTTGGGGTATCCATGCTCGTCCCTACCATCCGCCCAGGTTTGTCAAGTGTGTGAAGAGCAACAAGGAGAAGAAGCCCGTGGTCATGGAGGAGGACTCAGCGGCGGGAGATTTTTTGCAAGGGATGTGCTGCCTGACCCCAACCAAGCTAGATCGCGAGGCGGGACACTTCTGTAGAGCTTCTGCAGTTGGCTACAGGATGGGCATGGATGGGGCTTAGACCCAATTGGCCCAAATCCTGAAGAACCCCGCATACTGGAATTTGAGTGCACAGGAGACCGTCATCAGCCAGCTCCACACACTGAGCATCATCGAGCCCAGACCTGATCTTGCTTGGCTTCGGCTGCAGCGGGGGGGTGGGGCGTAAGGACGCTTGCGCAGAGCCGCAGGGGTAGTACAAAAGTGCTGTTTATATCGTGAATTTAAACACTAAACCACCCCTCCACCCACCCGTCCACGAGCCTCCACCCCAGTAAACATTCACCGGACGCCTAGTATCGTCGACCCCTCCACCCTCCACCTCCACCCTTCCAGCCCTCCACCCTCCACCCCTCCACCCTCCCCACCTCAACCCTTCCACTCTCTCCTCCACCCCTGACTCCACCCCTCTACCCCCGGGCTGGCAATTAGACACAACATGATATGGGGCGTTCTCGGGGTCGCTGCCGGTGTAGGACTAGACGTTTTCAGGGTTTCGGGCGTCAGCAATTCTAGCATCGAGCGCGCTGCTCTTAAATGCTTGGAAAGGCTTGTGGATGGCTTCGGATCTCGTGTGTGTGCGGGGGGGGTATAGGCTGCTGATAGGGTTGGGCTCAAGTCAGGCCTTAACCTTTCAAGTTGCTCATTAAATTCATTGAAATTTGAACCTAGAGGCTTCGCGACAACCTGGAAAACTTTCAAGGCATTTTGCAGCCCACACCTCGGAGATTGAGAGTTTAGGGCGTGTGTGTGAGTTGTGTGCACTGGCACTGGTCTGAAAATTGTGGAGTGGTTGGAGCGGGTGCTGTGGAGGTGGGTAGAGTGGGGTGGAAGGGGTGGAGGTGTAGGGTCGAGGGGGTCGAGGGCTGGAAGGGTGGAGAGGTAGAGGGTGGAGGGGTGGAAAGTTGAAGGTGGTGGGGTGGAGGGGTGGAGATGGAGGGGGGTGCAGTGTGGAGGGGTGAGGTTGGAGGAGGTGGAGGCGTGGAGTGGAGGTGGAGGGAGAGTTGGAGTGGGGTGGAGGTGGAGGGGTGAAGGGGCGAGGGCGAGGGGTAGAGGGGGATCCGCTTGTTTAAAATGGGCTTGGTGGCCCACGCCCGAAGACAACGGAGGTGGTATAAAATGTTTGTTTAGGTATTAATCATGCCGCATATTTAAACATCGTCACCTTGGCGTTTCAGAGTCGATCATTGAATTTTGGAACGTTGCCTATCATGGCCTGTTCTGAACCCTAAAGCCTGAACCCCAAACTGCCGAGCTCTGCACGCGGAACGCCCGGAACTACGGCTAAGGTCGCTGCAAACGGAGCGCCAGGGCTTCACTTACAAGAAGCTTTACAAGGAGCCCGGAGCCCGGAAGTTGTCCCACGAGTTGACGTAGCTTTATATGTCTATGTATATATCATCTATCTATCCACCTACCTACCTATATATTTATTATCTATCTATCTACCTATGTATCTATCTATTTATCTACCTGTTTATCTACCTATCTATCTTATAGATCAGCATATCTATGAATGTATTGTGGTGTATTGTGTCGGGCACAGTATACTAAACTATACCATACTATATTATACGATACTATATGCTATTGCACTGTCGTATAGTTTTGATATGATATGTGCTGTTCTATATATCATGTTACATTATGCTATGTTGTACTATACGTTATTATACTGTATTCTTTCATATGTTATAGACGGCACTGTATACTGTCTATATTAAACTACCCTCTACTTACTATGTTATTTCGTATTTTGGTATGTTAGATGTGTTTTCTATTGACCTAACATTGTTTTTCAGCGCCTCTGATGCTGGCGGTTATAACATAGTACATTATATGGTATTATGCTATGTATGCATGCTAAGTTTTGGATTTCTGTACATTAACATATATATATATATATATGTATATCTATCTATCTATATGTGCATCTGATGCTGGCTGCAAGGTTTCTCGAGGAGCACACTGCGCTTTGCGAGAGGGCCCTGGAGTGTTGTGTGCAAGTCTCCTGTGGCGTGTAGGTCCATAAGTTTTTGGCTCGGGTTCTATAGCCATTGCATCTGTTGCCTATGTGCAGTACTGTGGAGATTCTGCGAAAACTTTTTAGACAACCCTTGTCCTGGCACGCGTGGACAGCTCTGGTCCTTGCACGTCAATAACCCAGGTTGCAGTACATGGCTGCTTGCCCTTCGGACCCACTTGGCAGCGGCAGGCGACTCTGGCAAAATCTCGGTGAGGACGCTTCGCTAACATGAGTTGTTTGAAGCCCCAAAGATTCAGAAGCTCCAAAACTCTAAAGGTAGATCTTTACCCGTTTACCCCCTAAACCCCTGAACCCCTAAACCCCAAAACCCTAAACCCTAAAACCCTAAAGCCCAAAACCCCTAAAACCCTAAACCCCTAAACCCCTAAACGGCGACCCGTTCTCTCTTCTTGGAGGTGGCCAGGCGAGGCGGCGACGAGGTTGCCGCAGCAAAGGCAATGACACTGGAGGTCCTCGCGGCAGCCCGCGGCCCAAGGACACTATAACAGGTAATGGTATACCGCAATATACTATAGTATACCATCATATACCAGAGTATACCAACATATATATATATATATATATATAAACAGATAGCACCCCCCTGCCCGTTGGTTTCCGGGCCCCCTCCAATGGATTTGGGCTTTCTGT